GTTTGCCATCTGCAAAGTTCACAGCTGGTCAGCAGCTCTCCAGCAGCCTGGACCCGCCAGTCCAGCTGGAACAAGGCATCCAGCCCATCCCCGGAGCCCAGATGCTGACCCTGGGGTGCAGGGAACCCAAGGGGACAGTCAGAAGGTGACACTGCATCTTCTCACCAGCATATCCCTCTCCTGTGGTCCAAAAGAGAGTGGGGAAACATATTGGGTTCTGGATCACCAGTGATGACTCCATTATGGGGTTCTCTGTATGGGACCTCAATGTGCTTCTGCATCCACTCTACACAGTGCACAGCCCTGACCTCAGCCAGGTGCTTCATGGAGCCCTCTTGCTGCTGAGACCCTGCCAGCTGAGGCAGGGTTGGTATGGGCTCTGTCTGTGAGAGCTAGTCAGCTACACTTCCACCACCTCTGGTGGTACAGGCACTCAGCCTACTGCTCCGTCTCTGGCTCGCTGCTGACTGAATACAGTCCTCCATCCTACCTGTCTGGGGCCAGGGGGCTCCTGCCATACCTCGTGCTACACAGGCCCTGCACCCCCTTCCCCAGTGACACCATTACTCTGGATGCTGAAGCAGCACACAGCACAACACAGTGGTCAAAGTGGCAGGGAGGGAAGGAGAATAGCCATGAGGATGCCCCTCAGGAGAGGGGCTGAGGGCACCCCTGCCATGACTCTGTGGCTGCTGGGGGTCTGAAATACGTGTTTGCATGTGTCGCCGAGGAGCTGGTGCCTCCCTGGGTTCCCTTAGAGATACCCAGTCTGTTCACAGTGGTCTTAGCCGCCCCGGCTGCTGTGGGACTCCAGCTGCCCCTCAGGTCCCCAGGAACCTCTAGAGCATTCCCGAGTGCCAGGGACAGGGAAGCGGTGGCTGGTGCTGAGGGATGTGCGTGCGGATGTGCAGGTGTGGAGGAGTGTGTGCGCGCCAGGCTGTGCTCGGTGTCGGTGTTGCAGAGGTTGTGCGTGCCGGTGGATGCTCTGAGTGTGAGCTCGGGGGCACTGGCGTATACTGGGTGCGATCTGAGTGCGGGAGGCGGGTGTTGCGGGGTGCAGGTGTTGGAGTGCGTGTGCGTGTGAGTGTGAAAGCGAGTGCGGAAGCGGGGGCGCGGGGGCCAGGGCGGAGCCGCCGCTGGCACCGAGGCTCTGCCCTGACGCACTGGCCCCGGCACCGGCCAGCGGCACTGGCCAGCAGGGGTAGAGGGGACCGGCAGCACAGGAGAGCTCGCCCTCGGCCCAGGTGGGGTCCCGCCGGCGCGGGGGAGCGCGGGTCCTCGGGATGCGGAGCGGGGCGCTGGGGACCCCGCACAAGGCTGAAGCGGGGACCCCGCACAAGGCTATCCTGGCGGGCGGGGCGGACGGGAACGGGATGGGCGGCGCGGGGAGCCGACTCCGGGGCCGGGGCAGCCCCCGGGGCACAAACATCCGTGCCCGCCGCGGGACAAAACAGTGCTCGGGCCGCCCGCCCCTGCCCGGGTGGTCTGCCTGGAAGGTGCTGGCGGGCAGTGTGGGCTCCCGGAGCAGCTCTGCCCTGTGGCCCTGAAGAGTGAATGAGGCAGCTGTGCTGCACGAAGGGGGAGCGGAGGCACCCTCAGCCAGGACAACAGCAGAGCCAGCCCGGGGAGTTCCCACTGCAGCAGAGTGCAGGCTGCCTGCTCCCCGTCCTTTTCCTTGCTCCTATCTGTCCATATCAACAGGGTCTCTGTTGTCCCTCCCGACACTGCTATCTGTCCCCTTACACTGCCTCCTCCTGCCTTTCTTGACCTTCCCTGGCCGCAGGAGTTGGCTGTGCTGGCTCACAGCTTCCCTGGCATGACATGCTGCCTGCCTTCATCAGGGCTCTGTGTTGGACTTTTTGTTAACCCCACCAGCTGGTATTGGGAACCATTCTCCCAAACAATTCCCTACCAAATCCTCGTTAGAAAAATCAGGTTTCTTGAGTCCCAACTTTGCCACTGATTGGGTTCTCATCCCTGGGAATATTACTTTCTCCATCATATCGCCTTTGCCCCTGCTAGCCCTGAGCAGCAGATGTGGGAGAGCAACCCGGCTGCCCATGCTCTGCATCATCCTTCCTCTCAAAGCAGTTTTCCCTCTCGTTGCTCCTCAAGGCTATTCATTACCAAGTGAAACTCATTGACATACACCTGTTCACAAAAAGGTATGAGAAGGTTGCAAAATGCTTCCAAGGGACAACAGAGCCATGGGGATGAGTGGCAGTTTCCCAAGAAGATCCTAAATCTGGAGACATCCCACTCTGCCAGAAATGCTCTGAATGACTCTCTAAGCATCTCAGTGTCCCAGCACCAGTGTCACAGTTCATGTATGTCACTTCAGAGACCTTGCTCTCACTCCATGTCTGTTCTATCACTGTCCCGTCTGCAGGCAGGACTGTGCACAGAGGGGTGAATCAGAGCTAACCCGGCAGAGATTTGTTCCCTGATCCAGCTGGCTGCAAAGCCATCTCTTCATGCTCACTGTGTCTCAAGTCCTATCCGTAAAAGGGGACTGAAGCACTGTTTTGCCTTTATGACCCTTACCCTCTGGGTCATGAGCCACAAGCAACCAGGGAGAACCTCAATGCTGTGGCGATGGTACAACTACCATCCTGCCACCACATCCCAGCTGGCACTTTGCTCCTGGCCACTGATTGTCCCCCAAAAGAATTCACAAATCTTCCTGAACTCCCATTCCTACAGGCTCAAGAAATAAGCTTAGAACTGAGGGGTGAATGACAACAGAAATGGCTCCCTGACAGACATAAACAGTTTTTCCAAGTAAAGGATGAACTTCTCACTTAAACATCAAGGAGTATCAAATTTGGACTGCAACCAGGCTATGTGATGTGCTATTACTTCAAAGTGATGGCACTGCAGGTTGCGCCAGGGAGGGGTGTCTTCCTTGCAGTTGTTGCCTTCCTTAATTTGCAAGTGAGGGTGCCGGTATTTCCCTGTCATTTTGTTCTCTTTAGAGCAGTCTTTGAGAAGGGCTGACTAGCAGTTCATCTGCCTTGCAAGAGACAGAGCAAAGAAAGAGGGTGAGCTTGGGAATGAGAAGGATGTAGGGGAATGCAGAGTGAAGCAGCCAGAGACACTACCAGGCAACACAGACACTGTCTGGGTAGATAATAAGACAATGCATGTTTCTAGCTGTCAGCTCTTCTCCAGCTTTGCTAATACCTTTCACAGCCTCATGGAAAAAGGATCTCAGTGCCACAGCCTTGCATGGCACATCATCCCAAGCACAGCCTAAGCCAGTGCAATCAACTAGATGTAAGAATGAGCAATTCAGTGGCACTCTGAATTGCTCTTCCCTGCACACAGGGAAGCTCCCTGGTCCCAGAGAAGTTAAGCAGTATAGGAGACCAAGGTCCTGAACCAGTGTCTTGCACCAGACCCTCTGGCAGGCTCCCATACATCTATCTTTCCTGGTCCTTCCAGGCCCTGTGTAAGCTCTCCTGCTTCCCACACATCCATACTGTGAGGGGTACTCTTCTCTTAGGTGAGTACCTGACACTGCCATTGGAATTTGTTTTGTCCATACCCTGAGGAAGATCTAGAAAAATAAGTAGTATGCACTTCAGTGCTGGCCATCCCAGCTTTCCAGAGGAAAGCTCATCCCTCTGCCACATAGGCAGCATTCATGGAACTCTAGATTACTATAAAACAGTAGAGTCTAAGCCAGACATAAAATTTTTGTGCTGCATCTGCCACAAGGCAAATTCGCATTCAGCATAACTTGAGGTCATCCCTGTGAAACCCCCTCTGTTTCAGGATGGGTCGGGGCAATCAGAGCAATCCAATGGTCACAAATGAGGGGTAGTGACCTCTTGGGTCCCAGGGAGTAGAACCAGCCCCCAGACAGCAGTAAAACACCTCTGAGGCTTTATGATGCTTTGGCTTGTGCATTCATGGACATCATGGACATCATCCTGTGGGAATGGCCTCCTTACAGTGTTCCTGCTTCAGGCACTGGCACTGCTGGTGTTCCCTGGGGAGCATTCACTAGTTCCCGAGCCTGAAAAAGCGCACAAGCTACAGGCTTGGTTCTTGCACAGTCTCTGCAATCTCCACACTCATGGTGGCCTTGGGCCATACTCTGCTAACCAGAGCACATCCCTACAAACACTGCACATGGGGGAGAACCCAGGCCATGTTTTATTCAAGAGAAGCTGTGTATGGAATATTTGCTCAGCTTCAAAACTCAGAAATGTGCAGACAGATTTCTATACCTGTGACAGAAAATCTGGGTCTTCCAGACACAACTTTGCCTTCTGCTTGCAGCCCAAATGCTTATTTTGGGGGCAGGGGAATGATATGAAAAGCCCAAGCACTTGGGAGAGCTGCCCTGTGAAACACAGAAAGGGAAATATGTATCTGGGTCACTCAAACCAAAGAAGGAGGGGTCCCATTAGAGCTGTCTTCAGAAAGTCCCCACCTGGGCACAACATAGGAGCTGCGAAGTAGCTGTCACTGCAAAAAGCATTTCCAGCTCCATGCCTAGTATGTGAAGTTTATTCTAAGAGCAGGTACCAAAAGAGCTGAGAGCAGGAGAGGGATAAAAATCTGCATGTCAGTAGTGGGGGAGCAACATCTTGGCTTGTCCAGACCACGGGTTTGGAGCTGGAGCCCCACTGGTGGAAAGAACATCACACCCCTCCTGCCGTCAGCTGGACCAGCTGGGAGGCAGAAATCCTGGCTCCATTCTCCCACAGAGGAGAAAGCTGGGGACAGGTGCCATCCTCTTCTCTCCCCTAAACCTCACCGCCAGCAGCATCAGTCCAAGGCAGCATCCGAATATGGGCTGTGGCTTCATTTCAAGGACAGAACAGGGAAGCAGGACACCTCTTGCCCCCAGCCAAGCCTACCTGTCCTTCAGGCAGCAGTGTCCAGAGGAATCTGCAATAAAGGATGTGGGTCACAAAGCTGGGAACAGGGCTCTGTGTCTCCAGTGATCCAGTGGGCCCACCAGCCAAACTTACAGGCTAGGCAATGTTTCTCCAGTCTCTCACATCTTTCCCTGTCTTATGCCAGGCTCCTGCGTCTCACAACACAGAATGACAGAGCACGAGGACTTCGTGAACTTGGCTGGGTACTGGAACTCCTCTGACAATTACCAGTTCAGCCCTGCCAGGGTTATTGTCCCTGTGGTCTTCTCCCTCATCTTCCTCCTGGGCACAGTGGGCAACAGCCTGGTGTTGGCTGTGCTGCTGCGCAATGGGCAGAGGGGCCACAACACTACCAACCTCTTCATCCTCAACCTCAGCCTGGCCGACTTCTTCTTCATCGTCTTCTGCGTGCCCTTCCAGGCCACCATCTACTCCCTTGAGGGATGGATCTTTGGCTCCTTCATCTGCAAGGCTGTCCATTTCTTCATCTACCTCACCATGTATGCTAGCAGCTTTACTCTGGCTGCTGTCTCTGTGGACAGGTAATAATCTACAGGTGCCCTTGGGCTGGGGAAGGAAAGCAGTCCGAGTGGGCAGAGGGCATGGGAAGAGCATAGCCCACCGCCTCTAGGCAGACAATTCAAGCCCCAGTGGTATCAATGCATGCCAGAGGTAGTTCGGGGACCAGTTGTGTCTCCTTTGCCCTAATGACTTGCAAGAAGCATTTCCAGATCTCTCAAGTGCAGATCTTTCTGCAGGAAAGATCTCCCCACGGTTAGAGCACTTGAGACCCAAGCTCGGCTCCCCACTGTGCCCCAGACTCCCACAGAGAGTCACCAGCTCTGCATTAGAGATGCTACTTACAGGGTTACAGCTGTCCCTGAGCCACCATTTCCGAAAAGCATCCTGTGCAGTAGCAAGGTCAACAGGGCACCACAGCAGGAGCCACAGGAGAGACCCCAGTCCTGCAGTAAACACCTCTCATTTCTCAGGGACTGCCAACTCAGTAAAAAAACTTGTCACCAAGCAATTCCTGTCCCCGCCCTGCCCCCAGCCCTTCTGCATTCTGCCCAGAAAGGCACCCGCACCACAAGCCCAGTTCCTTCTTGGAGGTCACCTAGGACATGCTGGTCCCTGACTGGTGTCACCTACATTGTTCCTAAGGGCTCTGTAAGGCAACTGTGTCAGCTACCCTTCTGACTAGGCCCACACTTCTGGGCCAGGTTGAAGAAGAGGTCCCCACTGGGATAAGCTCCAGCCCTGACTGCACTAGGGAACACATCCCAGCCCACCTTGCTCCCTGAGCTTGCTTCCAAGGTTCCAAGAAGAGACAGGGCCAGACGGTCCTCTGCAATGAGAGGTCCACAGCCCTGCAGGCAGAAGGAAACTTCAGCCCATCACCCAGTAAAGTTACCCCGGGTCTTAAATCTTCAGTTCAGACCTCCTTCTGCTGGATAGATTCTGCTGAGCAGTGGATATCTGCCTCGTCTCCACAGAAACATCTCTGTGCCCAAGCTCAGGGACATAACCCACCCTACCATACCTGGAGCAGGGAGCCAGCTGTGGCCAGAAAGAGATGCATCCTTGCTAGAAAGAGAAAAGCTGCTTTACCCAGGACTGTATGTCAAAGAGGGTGTAAGATAACATATATAGGGTCACTCTCTTGTCTCAGGAATTTATGTGACCAGGCAGAGCTTGGCTGAAACCTCAGTGCTGGTTGCTTTTCTCTCCTGCCCAGATACCTGGCTATCCGTTATCCACTGCGCTCCCGGGAGCTGCGGACCCCCCACAGTGCAGTGGCAGCCATGGCTGTGATCTGGGGCCTCTCTGTGGTCTTTGCTGGGCCCTACCTAAGCTACTACGTCCTGATTGAGTGGGAGTCCAGCTACATTTGCATGCCTGGGTGGGAGGAGTGGAGACGCAAGGTCATGGACACCAGCACGTTTGCCTTCGGCTACATCATCCCAGTGCTCGTCATCAGCCTCTCCTACACCAGAACCATCAAGTACCTGTGGACAGCAGTGGACCCTCTGGAGGACATATCAGAGTCCAGGAAGGCCAAGTGGAAGGTAACCAAGATGGTCATCGTTGTAACCATCCTTTTCTGCCTGTGCTGGCTGCCCTACCACGTAGTCATCCTCCGATACCTCTATGGAGACTTCCCCTTCAACCAGGCCACCTACGCCTTCCGCCTGCTCTCCCACTGCATGGCCTATGCCAACTCCTGCCTCAACCCCATCGTCTATGCCCTAGTCTCCAAGCACTTCCGCAAGGGCTTCAAGAAGGTTTTCAGCTGTCTCTTGAGAAAAAAGCACCACAATAACGTACGTGTGGTGCATGTTGCCGACATTGTGCCTGGATTTGGGGCAGCTCCCACTGAAGTGTCCCAGATGCACAAGGAGATTAATAGGCATGAGATGGACCCAGCTTCCGTGGCAGTCCCTTCTGGTACCTCCAAGCCCCTTCATATTTCTTAGCGGCCAAACTCCATTTGCCAGCTCAGCTCTGTCACCAACTTCAGGCCACTCTTTCCCACTGGGTGAGAGGGGATGCTGGAAAGGCAAGCCAGAAACTGCTAAACACTGCTTCTGCCCTTGTCGTTCCTTCCCATTCCATGCACCAACAGTTCTCTTGAGCCATCTCCCCACCAGATGCTGAATGTGAGGAAAGAAATTGACCCAGGCTCACCCTGATCCTCAAACTGCCTGGATTCCAAGGATTAAAGCTCCAGCTCCTGTCTGGGCTCTCATCCAGCAGAATTCCACTGCTCCATGGCCCCACTGAACTGGGTCCTGTGCACAAGGGGAGCAGTTCAAGATGGAGTCAAGGCTCAGGGGAGAAACTCATGTTGTTTTAACTATGTGCATTTTGCTCTTCCTCTGCGTTAAAATCATCTCCCTCTGGGAAAGCTTTCTCATTAAAATGTTCAGAGAAAAGACACAAGTGGCCAGATTTAAAACAGTGCCAAACACAGAGTTCCTTCTGCCTCCCACTGCCCCATGTGGCCAGACTGGCTCCCACAGCAGGAATGGCAAGGGAGAAGGGCAGTGCAAAGGTGGTGTGGGAAGCACCTGGCACAGCCTGTGGATGGCTGCAGGGATGGCTTTGGTGCTGGTGCATTGCTCTCAGTGACTGAGTCCTCCTCTGGGATGTGGGACAGGTCAGGGGCTCTCTGTGAGGGAAGGGATGTTGCTTCTTTACTAGAGACATCTTTCTAACCCAGAGCAAATAAATGCACTTCCCTCATCCAGGCAATAGTGGGGCCTGCAGTGGTAACCTGGGGTGCATTGACGCTGCCAGACTCAGCTCAGGAGCAAACGCAGCAGAGGAAACCTCAGGCTCAGGAGAAGGGGAAGGCAGCTGCTGCCTAAGGCTTGTCCTTTAGTCCCACTGAGCCCCTATTAACGAAACAGGAGCTTCCCCTTCCCTTCCATTTTGAGCAGTCTGGTGGGTTGTAAAGGGCCTTGGCAGGAGATGGAGCTCTCTGGGGCTCCTGATAGTTGTCCTGTGTGGCATCATCGTGTGGTGCCTGTGTCAAGACCAGTGTCACTCATGCACAGCAGGCACTCCTCCCCTGGCTGGTCACCAAGGATTGCTGTTTCTAGTTCAGGCTCTGGGGTCATGAATAGGTATGAGTTTTCCAGGAAACAATTCCAGCAGAAGCCCTCTGCATCCCATTCTTCATTAGTGTTAGTGAAGTTCTGCAGCTACCATGCTTGCGCAGGTAACCATACTTCTGCAACCAGCCATACAGTCTCCATCTGCTCCAGCTCATCAGTAAACACCTTCTCTGCCTCACCTTCACACTTAAGGAACCAAGCTTGATTTTTCTCTGCTTGGATCAGATTGATAGCTGTGGTCTTTAGCAAAGCTCTAGTTACTGCTAGGGCTTTCTTACCCAAACTCTTCTCCTGGGGGAAAACAAACAAACAAACAAACAAACAAAACAAACAAACAAACAAACCAAAAAAACACAGAAAAAGAATTTTCTGTGACGGAGTCACCAAGCAAGAACTTACCAAACAGAGATGCATCTGCCATTGCTCATTGGTCCTGCTGGCAAAGGCACAAACAGCTGTAGATGAAAGACGAATGCTGAAAGGCATTTTAAATTTTTTGCTGTCTGTAGGAAGGTGACTGCAGATTTTCCAGGGAATTACCTGAATTTATTCTCCTGTGGGATTCACTCCATCACTGCATCCCCGAGAGGAGAACATTGTGTCCCTCAACCTCATTCACCTAAGCCTGTTATCTGGGTCGACCCTGAGGCCAGCACACTGAGTTAAACTGCTAAGGGCAATTTCAGACACTTGGCTGTCAAGCTAGAGCTGGAAGTTACCTGGGAGTTGATGGGAAGAGACAAAGTGGGATGGATGGAGTTGGGGCCTGGGGTATCATCCCTGCCTGGGAAGCATACAGCCTCTACTCACCCTGCATGCAGACAGTAGACCTTCATCTGCACATGCTCAAACAGAGGAGAAGCTTTTCCTCTCAGAATAAAATCCACGTTTGTGTGCAAAGATCAGAAGTAAGCATTTCAAAAGAGATGGCATCAAGATGGAGAAGGCGCATCAGGAAATAGTACCTAAGTCTTCTTAAACACAGAAATGCTCTCCAAAACAATGAAAATTCAGCTTGCAGCACAAGAAGAGTTCCTGATGTGCTCAGACCAGGAGAGACTTTTCAAATGGGATTTGAATGGAAGAGTTCCATCTAAAGTAACTGCATTTGTTCCCACCAAATTAACCCTTGGTTACACACAGTTTTCTCAGGAAGCTCTGGAAGTTACAAGCAAGAGGTGCCCCAGGTGCCTTGGTGCATGGCTTGCTTGCTTCTGTTGTCTTGCTAATGAGAACCACACAAGCAACTTTGTCCAAATGCAAAGATTTTAATAGGTGTGGAAACCCACAAATGTTGTGTAGGTATCACCCACAGCTCCTGTGACAGAGGCTCAGTGCTGGGCTTACCAGTGGTTTTGCACCTACTGAGTGGCTGCCATTCCTCTATTCCTGATGTACCTGTTCTCCCTGGAGAAAACCAGCTGCTTCAGCTCCTCTGTACCAGGGAAGGGACACTCACTAGGGGCCAGGGGCAAGCAGGGACGCAGAGGAGCAGCTGGGAAGCTTCCTATCATCAAGTTTGGTGCCAGCGCTCTGCAATCACCTATTTCACAGAGCACCCCCGAATTCCACCCCCATGTTTGGAGTGACTGCAGTAAGGTGAGCTCCATAATGGTAGGTTTGATTACCAGCAGGCAGGCACTTATCTGTTGGCTCAGCAACCGGAACTGAATCAGACATTGATTCAAAAGAGGAAGGAGATGCTTCCTTTCTCAGGGCATTCCATGCAAAGACTTAAGCCCTGCTGGCCCCGGTGGCTCAAAGTCTCTCTCTACATAACAAGTCACTCACAAGCAGAATGAGTTCCCATCCTGAGCCACCAGGGCGATCAGGCAGCTCCACATGGGGCTGCATCTGAGTGCCAACTAATGGGGCGAACCCCACAGGGAGCTGCAGGTCCCAGGGGTCCAGGTGCCAGCAACTGAAGAGACCTGTCCTGGGCACGGCAGGGATGACTAGCAAACCTCAGGTCAGAGTAGCCAGCAAGTAGGACAGGCCCCTGTGAAAGGGCAGTTCCAAGCATCAAGTGCTAAAATCAAAGTTACAAATCGGGATTTGAAGGTGCCAGCAAAGGTGCCCCCTCTTATCTGTGCTAGTCTGTCTGCAGCTGGGGATATCTGTGCATAGTTGTGCTCATTCCTGTGCAGATTCATCTTGGTTTTCCAACTATAAAGTTAATTTCTACTTCTTTTCTGGTCATTCAGTGGGGTTTTTTTAAGGAATGAAAGATACACAGGGCCTAGTGGAAGTCTGAGGAACTTTCGTCAGCAGAGAGGTTTTTCTCTTAGAATAAAATCCCTCCTCAAAGTGCCTATGCGCTAGAACTTCTGGGATCAGAAGACCAGCAATCTGAAATTGCAGAGAAGCATCCTCAGCTCTGCCAAACCTGCCAAGCACAGCCTCCACCTCCTCCAGCCAGGACTCCCAGCCCAGGGCAGTCACCATAACTGCCCATGCATTCATCGGTCCTCTCTCTCTGCCTACATGTCTCTTTGGTTTGAAGGATCAAACCAATCAGTCAAGTCCCAGAACTTGACTCTGCTGCTCAGATGACACCTCCTCGTCTGATCCAAGTGTCTCAGATCACCACCTTTCAGGGGGTGTTTGGACCACATCTTTGGTTCTCCCATGTCATTCCCACATTAGCAGAGGGAGAATTATCCTTCTGTCACACAAGTACTCTACGAGAACATTCCTCTCCCAAAGCACCAAGGTTTTTCACAAGCGCAGTTCAGTTCCCAACAGAAAAGGATGTTCAGAAAGGTGACCATAGTAACGTAGGATCTGTACAACACTCAGTGGTGGGTGATAATGGTGTCCTACCACCCACCTTGCACACTTGGGTTAATTCACACTTGAACTGCAGCAGCTCAATCATGAGCATGCTCAGAAAAAGGAAACGTAAAAAAACATGTTAATAGCCATTAGAGACAAAAAGGGACAGAAATTCATTAGGAAGGGAATAAACCAGGAGAATAACCAGGTCTAAGATTTAAAATGCTGTACCTAATGGTGAAGAACAGGCCATGAGTCACTTTATGTGTGGCTGTTTGCTGACTGGTTTTCACCTGTTTTTGTTTTTCTTTCTAAAGATGACAGAGAGCAAGATGAGGTAGAACATCAAGTGAACAGAGCTCCAAGAAGCACCTCTGTTCTGGGAATCCTGATAGAAATCAAACTAGATGCCTGGCCAAAACCATGGGGAAGTGCCAACAAAGGCCTGGCACAAAGGGCAGCCCCTGTGCATGGTATCCCAAGGGGAAACACAACCAAGATGGTTATAACAGGGCTTGACCACCTTCCCTGTTTGTATTGAATAAGCCACCACTGGGGCAGGTGGCTTAGTGTACCTGAGCTGCAGTCAGAACCACAGGGAGCAAAACCCTGTGCGCCCCACTTGCCTGGGTCACTGACAATTGTTCTTAAAACCTCCCCACAAAGAGCTCCTCCAGCTTTTCCATCACTTTTTTTTTTTTTTAGTGCCTAATCTGTTTGTCAGCAAACCAAAGCCCCTGGACTTCATCTCACCGACAGAAGGGAGAGAAAAGCTATCGCTGCATCACTGCAGCAATGACTGCCCTACGTGAGGACTTCAGCCTCAAAAGAATGAGGAGGACAGAAGAAGAAAAACTCCAGTTCAATCAATCTTCCCTCACAGATTATTTTTTAGGTTTTTGCTTGTACTGCCTCTCTCCATCCTGCCATGAGATTTTAATGATACTCATCAAACAGGCATTACACTTTTTCTTTACAATGCCACAGCATCTGTCCAGTCACATATGAGTCCTGTCCTTGGCTCATGGAGTCAGTCAAAATAATTTTCTACATCCAGTCCAAAAGGACATTCTGTCTTAAATCTTCTTGTCCAAGGACATCACCCACTGCCAACCGGGCACCGGGCACCAGAC